CACTCCTTTGCTGCTGGCTGCTGATGCTGCAAAATCGAAAATAAATCAACGGCAACCAGCAACATTGAAAACATGTGACTCTGAGAATGATGTGACTGACTGACTGACTGACTGATTGATGCTTATTTTAACTTATGATTCTGACTTTCGACAACCAAACAGATATTCTGAGAAACTCAATCAAGGGCTGGGCGTCAAACTGTCTGAGTTGAACAGGTACCTCCGACAAAGCTCTTTGAGATCTTGTTCCTCTGTATCCTGGCTGTCACACCTCAGGCATGCATGTGCAATTCTGTCATTGTCACCTCTGTGTCTGGCGGCTGATGTCATGGCTTTGACTCTGACTCTGACTGTCCCTTCAGCTTAAGCCGAAGCTGCTAGTTGCTTAAGTTAAGAATTAGTCATGCATGCATGAGTCATGAGTCAGTAGTCATGAGTGAGTCATACGACTAAACCTACCCAAACCGAAACTGTGCCGAAACTCAATTAACCTGACCTGACCTAACCTAACCGTAACCTATGTTGGAAGCTGACAATCATCTAACATCTGGATCTGGGTTCCCTGCTCATGGCGCAGGATATAGAAAAGCAAGTTCCGGACAGGCCGATTCAATTCCATCAGCAAGAAAAGTTTCAAAGGTGTGGCTTCATCGCTCGCCCTAAGTTGAGTCAGCCAAAGTCGGGGTCATATGGCCAGTACTACGTACCTACATATGTTACATAACATACATTACATAACATACTAGTTACTAGACTACTAGACTGGACTATACTGACTAGACTGACTAGACTATACTAGACTAGACTAGACTAGACTAGATTGGACTATACTGTACTATACTATACTATACTGTACTGCCATGCCAAGTGTGGCACAGTAACGGTATCAATTGACTGACTGACGACTGACTGCTCTCAGTTATCAGTTATCGTCGTCGTTATCATTATTTATCATCAGTTATCTGAGACAGTATCTGAGTTATCTGAGTCAAACCTTTAAGTCTGAGTCTGAGTCTAAGACTGTCTGAATCTGAGTTGCTGACCACTCTGAGAGCTTGTTTCGTCTGGTACGTTGTTGAGCTTGGAAGGCATCTGAGTCAGATTGCTGCACCTCATTCTGTCTCAGTGACAGTCTCAGCTCGCCTCTAACTGAGCCTAAGCCGAAGCTTTAAGTCAGCCCGTTGCAGATTGAATTAAACTGTAATCGAAATTGTACTTGTAGTTGAACTGACTGACTGACTGAGTGACTATTCGAAAATGGTGTTCATTGATTTTGATTGGATCGATCATCTATCTGTTCAGGTCCTTATCTGTCTATCTAATTGCAAATCAAAAGTTTAGGCCCCGGCATCTGCGTCTTTGTCGGTAGCCGCAGAATTTGCTTTGTCTTGATCTTTTGCCGCCAAACACTTGAAGAGGGGTTTCAAGAGTCCAAGGCATAGGGAAAGTGACAAAGCAAACTGAGCCACACTGGCAACTCCAGTCCATCTGCTTTGTGCGGGCTTGCTTGGCTTACAGGATAGAAACAAATGCCGATACAAGATCGTCAAGTGATCTGCAACTGCCTGATGGAGTCTGTTGCACGCTACTTGGTCCTCCAGTGCCTTGTCCTCCACGTAGACAAAAATATTGTCTGCAGCCCAATCGCTGTCGCCAACCAGCCTTTCATGGCAGCAGTGTCCACCAGGCTGAACTTAAGAACAAGTACAACAGTGCAACTCAGTACAACTTACAACCGAGTAATATCATTGCGAATCTAAAAGTATCTAAATAAAATAAAAATATAATATAGTCCTGAGTCATGATGTTTTATTTAAAAAATACAATATATAATATAATTATTATCATGTATCAATATCACATATCATACTAAAATTTATAATATTTGATTATTTGATTATGATATGATATGAATCTGAAGTAAATCTGATATGATCTCTGAAGTGCCAAGCCTGAGAAATTCCGCTGCAGTCTCCCACACTGCACTCGGCTTGCTGGCTCCACACTGCTGCTGCGGTTGCTCCATTTGATTCAGATCAAAATCTTCTGGTATCTTCCCCAAAGTTGACAAAATGCGTTGATTCCGTTTCAAATTCTCCATAGCAGCATCTGGTGCGCGTGATGACATTGGTGCCAAGACAAGCTTTTCTGAAATCAATAACTCCAATGATTTTTGCAGCAAAGTCCATGTTGTTGCACCACACATCTGGTTCCCAGTTCTCACTAAGTTTGTCAACAAAAACGGTTGTCTTTTGCGTGGTGGTGCATTGTTTTGCTGGGGAGGATTGTCACTGCTGCCATCACCTACATTGCCCTTGCCGCCACGCCCTCTCCCTCTTGCACGGCCACGCCCCCCGCGTGCTGGCTCTGGTGTTGCAACAACTGGTGCCGGCTCTGACTCCTTCCTTGCCCAAGAACAGGGCAAGTCCTGAAACGATTTCAGATTTCAATTTCAGTTTCAATAAAATTCAATGGATGATTGATGTAAGCTAAATTCAATTTTTAAGTAGCTCAGCTAAGTGTCTAAGTCGGTCGGAGTCTACAGTCAGAGTCTGAGATTTTCAGATGATCAGCCAGCATTATATAGTAGCATTACTACAGCAGTAATATCATTGCATGATCAGGGTGTCAAGGGAGGCATCAGGGTGTCAAGTGTCAATGTCCAAGGTCATTAAAACACAAATTCAAAACTCAAGTCTCAAAACACTGGGCAGAGTCACATCGAAACTTTGAGAACCGGGCCAAACGAAAGGTTTGGGCGCTGGAGCATAGATGCACTGCATGGCACTGGCAAGTGCATTCAAGAACCTGGCAAGTGCATTCAAGAACTTGAAGTTGGCATCAGTAACTTTCACACCTCCCAACAACTACAAAGTTCAAAGAAGAACGGAGCAGAAAACAAAATAGCAGCCAATCAACTCGACTAACGACGACTCAGCAACACAAATAATTTTGATTGATGATCAACATTTAAGAAATGCCAAAGAAAATGGTGGAATAAGAATTGTGAATCATCTGTCTGAAAATGATTTTTCTGAATCAGAATCCTAATCAAATCATACATGATCTGATCTGATCTGATCAAACGATGAAACTGAGTAATGGAATCTTAATCGAATCCTGAAAGCAAACGGTGGTGAAGGCACATCTGATGGCTGATTCATGGTGTGATACCAAGGCAAACCCAATCAGCTAAGGCAAATTGCATCTAAGATAAGTTAAGTAAGTCTCACACCAATGTCTTGGCAGATGAGCGCTTCGCCACCTGAAACGTCTGAGTCTGAGTCTGTACTGTACTGTTGTACTGTTTGTAGACCATAGAAGTAGAAGTTGTAGAAGATACTGTCTATAGTAGCCTCTGTAATGTATGTACTGTACTAGTATGTACTTGTATGATATGTTAATAATAATGTCTGTATACATGATATATTATATATGATATAATCTGTAAGTTCTGTAAGTGTCTGTAACGTATGCCGTATGCCGTATGTCACATATGTATGTATTATGTATACATATGTATACTGTATGATACTGTATGATGATTGATGATTGATGTATGTAACAAATTCTCTGGTTCAATGTAAGAGGCTCATTGAAAATGAAGTTGAAGCTGCGGCAGCAGCGCCTCATATTTCTTGATGAGGACATTTGACAAAGCACCATCTGCGACCAGTATCACAATGTGAAACTGCGCGTTGTCCACCGCTTCTGACCTATTCATGATTACAAGAATTGAATGAGTGGCTCTTGAATGACAGAGTCAGAGTCAGAGTCAGTTAAAAAAATCAAACGACCTCTCTTCATTGCAGTACTGAATGAGGTTGAAAACTGAAATTGATAGTTGACGCCAATGACATCACTGAAGTGAAATTCAAATATAGTAAAATTTGACAGTCAAACAGTCAGACTCAGACTCAGGCATCAAACCACACTGAGAACCTGAGAACCCACACCTTTTGGATGCAAACAATGGCATCCATGACTCCAAAGAACTCCATATTGCCGATGCCGTTAGTCTGTGTAGACGGACCGGAGGCACAATGATTGGCTCCTGGTTTGGACCGGTCCCATGCAACTGATGTGAATCATGAATTCTGAATCACTGTTTGTCTCTGAATTCGAAATCATCAACTGACAATTGACCACCAATCAGAATGGTTCAAAGAAAACTCACACACATACATAAAGTTACACACATATCACTTCACTTCAATTGAAAACTACATTCCTTCCATTCTATCAAGTTCTACGCTCAACGGCTCGACGAAAACTGGTTTCAACTTCAACTTTCAACTGCTCCATTACTCGATTGTTTCCGCTCAACGACACAACTCTTCACTGCTGCTTGTAGGAGACTACAAGCTAAGGCTAAGGCGCCTAAGCCTATTCTGGTGGTAGCCTAGGCCCAGGCATCTGAATCCGAATCAGAATCTAATCTAGAGTAATGTACCGAGTCACCAAAGAGCATCTGCTCAGCTCTGTTCTGCACAGGTGTCTGAAATAGACTGTGACTTTGACCAACAGCCCCCCAGATTGCAGTAGCGGCGTAGCGGGCCAACCAAATTCTCAGCAACTGTGCAACATGATGGAATTGTTGACAATAGATTGATAGATAATAGACGATCTGAAAAAAATATAATATTATATTATATATATATAAATATATAAATATATCATAAAACATACATAATCTATAATTTCTATTTCTACTCTATATTATATAAAATAATAATTATTAAATTATATAATTATATTATTATATTATAATATAATATAATAATATAACAATAAAAATAAAATGATTTAGATTTAGATTAATCATCAAATTTAACAACTAACAAAGCAATCAACAATCATCAGACAGCTGTTGTTCAACAAATGCTGGCTGGCCCAATTTTGGCTTCTTTGGGTCAGGGCAACCCATTGCCGATTCCACCAATGGAGCCTTTTCTTTCCATTGGCAATGTACCCTCATATGACGACTGCTACTGCTACTGTCACTCATCTGGGGCGTAGTGACGGTCTAGCCTAGCCGCTAGCCTGATTACCTCACTCAGTCACATGTCATTGCCAAAGTAGATCGTGATCGAGTCCTCACTTTCCATGACCAGCAAGGAGTCACCGGGACCTTCTGCCGACCCACTGATGTTGCCATTTGTGGCCTCATTGCTGTGAGACTTCGGTGTCTTTGTAGTGCCTGAAGTAGACAAACCACGGAGGGCTCTCTCAAAATCAAAACCATGGCTGGACGAAGAAGCATTGCCACTGCCATGGGAACCAGCAGTTTGGCGGGAAGAACTTGGCTTCGCTTTCGGCTTTCCCCGAAACAAGTCATCAAGAGTGCGCTGGGTAGTGCGTTTGGGCGGTGCACCAGCAGAATCCTTGACCTCGATCTCAGCATCTAGCAAATCCTCCAGGTCAGGCTCTGCATCCAAAGGCCCAAAGATTCTCAGCATGGCTTCTTCTTCTGAGACACTGCCCAATGCACCATCAGAGTCTACTACCAGCCAATCATTTGAATCATCATTTGAAGATCCCATTATGGTCCACAAAGAGGCTAGGAGTCAGTCCAGGAGGCTAGGAGGCTTGAGGCTTGAAGCCAAAATGCTTACTGACTGCCATACTGCAAACAGAACTAACAGCTGCCTACTGCTGGCTACTAAGTCGTCAATAGTTGCCGACATCATATCATCGAATAGTAAATCACGGATTGTCACAGTCAGTCGGTCTGAGTCTGAGCCTATGTCATAGTCCTAGCTCCTAGCTTACTCAGAGCACTGAATCATTAGTTAGTCCGTCCAGTCAGTGAGTCGCTACTGATTCATGGATTGTGTGGGTCAGGTTTGGTTAGGTAGTCAAACCGGAGCCGGAGTCCTTGATGAAGACAGGCGCACTCCAATCTGGCGCATCCATGTCGACAACCTCAGCAAATATGGTCTACTACTGAGTCTGCTGCCATCCATATTAGTCAGTCACTTCAGTCAGTCAAACAAGCATCTGAACTTGAGTCATCTGTCGTCTATCATCCATCTCCTGAGAAGACTGTTGCTCTGACTCTTACGGATTGAGATCACGCAAAGCAAAGTAGACATTGCTACAGGCTACAGCAGTACTACAATGACTACAACCAACACCCAAATTTAGCTCTTATAATTCTAATACAATCGAATCATATCATATCATAATAATATATAATAAAACTAAACTATAAAACTAAATAATTATAAATATTATAAATTATAATTTATAATTTATAATGTATAATTGTAATTGTAATTTATCCAAAATCCATTTCTAAATTCTAAATCAGCGCCAAACCAAACCCTAACCCTAAGGGCCTAAGGGCCCCTACGCACACCTCGCCGTACTGAACCATCATGCTCCTGTCAACTGTCCATGTCAATCTCGATAGTATATTATATAACGACTGACTATGATTCTGAAACAACCCACTGCCACCGTCAATCCAATTGTCCTGTATGTCACATCCAAACACATCGAACACCGACCGGATCAATCTAATCTGGTTTGATTTGATTTGTATTAAGATTCAGATTCTCCAAAAATGATCACCAGACCGACCGTCTGAATCGAATCCAATCCCTACCATGAATTTGACTCGATTTGACTCAATGACTCATCACAATAACAGACTCACACAAAATACATGTCAGTCAAAGTCAGTGTCCTTGTGAGTCATTGCCATGTCATGTCTCAGAAAGAAGAAGTAAGAAGAAGTGGAAGTAAGAGTCAGAGTCAGAGTAAGGTAGAAGAATTTGCGAGAGACCGTGCTGTCAGTGATATCCCGCTGAGCTTCTTACATTGCAATGTTTGCCTTGCTGTCAGCTCTTCTCTTCCTGGGAAAGACGAGTCACAGTCACATGACTCATAACATAACACATGAAGACTAGACAGTACCCAAACAGACTCTGACTCTGACTCTCACCCTGATACTATGACTCTATGAGTCTATGACTATGATTCTATGATTCGTTGTTGATTTTGCTGACTGCTTCTTCTGCTAGGCCAACTTCACAATCCCAAACAAAACCCTAACCTTCACAAACAACTCAACTAACTACTAACGACTAACATGACTAACAAGCCTCCATCTCCTACAGTCAAGTCTGAGACTGAAAAAGACTGAGCATCGCTGTCAGAAGCGCCTTCCCGATATTAAGCCCTGCTCCCATGTGTGTTAGAAGAGGGCCAACCAGACCAGATTGCGCAACAATGTTCGACGCTGTCTGTTCCTGTGGGATATGAAGTGCTGGGAATTGAATTGTTGACTGTTGACTGTTGACTGAATTCAATGGGCTGTGCAACTGAAGTCTGAAGAATAAATGATAATGATTCAGATTCGAATAGTTGTTGAACATACAGCAATATCAATTCCAATTGGGTTGTCTGACTCGGGCTCTCACTGCTATGGGCTTTGGCCTCTACTGACTCTATGAGTACGATTATATAATATAGGCTCATGACTCATGACTCATGCCTAGACAAGCAGTATCAGAATCAGTGATCAGGTAATCAGTGACCCAATGACTCAAGACTCAATTCAATATTGGATTGAATGCATTCAAATTCGGTGAATCAAAATCTGTGCTAGTCTCAACTAAAACCAAGCTGAACAACAACCAACTTAGCACCTTAGCCAAACTCACTTGTCACTTGCATAGCGGGGCTCTGTTTCATCCCACATGCAGAGCTGACAGGTGATGTAGTTTTGGTCCTTCTTGGTCAGGTTGCCCTCAACCTTATCGAAACACATGAACGCATGTGAGACATGACGTTTGTGGGAAAAAACAACTACATACACCAACTTATCCCAAGCTATACAAACATACCATTTATGTCTGCTGAGTCATATTAGACTATGGCCCACGGCAATGATTCCGAAATTCTGATGATTCGCAAATGATTCGCAAAAGAAACCAAGTGGAAGCTTAGGCACTAGTTTTTTGCAGAAACCTTTTTGAAAACTTAACACCACAGTTGCCACATTGAATTTGGAGGTCTTCAAGAATCGCTCATCGAAAGATTCCTGGTTGGCTGGAATGTGGCGTGACTGCCACACGTCACAAGTAACAAAAACACCATCTACACAGGACAGTCAGTAAGTAGATAGGACAGTCGGACAGTGTTTCTTTCTACTTCTACTTCTACTTCTACTACTGTTATTTCTTCTACCTCCACAGTAGCCAGGCTACACATGTTTCAAGTGTGTTTGCTGTTCGCCTCTGTGTGTGCGTCAATGCGCAGTGTAGTTGTTTCACCCGGCTAGTGCCTTTGACAAGACAAAATCCAGCAATTAAATTGAAGATGAATCATTGATCAACAACTGATCAAAGACCAGCTTCTCCAAGCTGACGCGTCAGCAATGCGACTGGTTTACCCACTAAACCAACCTTCTCGGCAACGGAACTCACTGCAGATATCAAATGTTTTGCAATCAGCGACACGTGGCTATCAGCGACCCTCCCTGGAAGAAATGAGGCAGCAATTTGAAGTTCTGCCTAGGGCCAGCTGTTGACACCTGTCTTCAGTAATTACAGCACCCAAATCATTGCACAAACAAATGGATTTGATTTGACGGGTTCTTAGTCACCCGAAGCTGGAGATTGAAAACAATCAAATATTTGCAAGAAATCAAAATTACTAAAATTACTTTACTTCGTGTGATCCCCACCATGACATTTATCGATTTGTTACTGGCAAATCTTCTGGCATTCTATCTGACATATCTTCTGGCATTCGATCTGGCATTCTATCTGACATATCTTCTGGCATTCGATCTGGCATTCTATCTGACATATCTTCTGGCATTCGATCTGGCATTCGATCTGGCATATTTTCTGGCATTTTACCTGGCATATCTTCTGGCATATCTTCTGGCATTCTATCTGGCATTCTATCGGGCATATCTTCTGGCATATCTTCTGACATCCTATCTGGCAACTCTTCTGGCATTCAATCTGGCAAACATTCTGGCACTTTATCTGGCATACCTTCTGGCATTCTATCTGACATTCTATCTGGCATACCTTCTGGCATTCTATCCGACATGTTTTCTGGCATATGTTCTGGCATATCTTATGGCATTCTATCTGGCATATCTTCTGGCATATCTTCTGACATCCTATCTGGCATTCTATCTGGCAATTCTTCTGGCATTCTATCTGGCAAACATTCTGGCACTCTGGCATACCATCTGGCATTCTATCTGCCATATCTTTTGGCATTCTATCTGGCATATCTTCTGGCATTGTCTCTGGCCGTTGAGGTCCAGCGGTGCACACTGAGCTAGGAAGGTCCCAGGTTGAGGTCCAGCGGTGCACACTGAGCTAGGAAGGTCCCAGGTTGAGGTCCAGCGGTGCGCACTAAGCTGGGAAGGTCCCAGGGTGAGGTCCAGCAGCGCGCACTGAGCTCCGAAGTTGGCGAAGAGCTTGGCCAAGAGTTGGCAAGGCAATAGTGGACGTGGAAGTGGAGGCAGAGGTTGTAGAATGGTAGAAGAGGAGGAGGACACGGAGGAGGAGAAGGAGGAGGAAGGAGGAGGAAGGAGGAGGAGGAGGAGAAGAACAACTCTGATAAAATCTAACAACCCTCACCTGGCAGGTGGGGAATGATTAGCTAGTTACGTTATATACTTCCATCCCCTTTTTCACTGCAAAGGCAAATGTTTGTTGATTGGGAAAAAACATTACAGTAAACAGTAACATATCGTCCCAGGAACGTCAATGTCACGTATTGAAGCAGTTTGTTTCTTTTTGCCAGAGTTGCCCTGCTGCTCTGAGTGAAAGGAAGCAGCCCTACTGACTGCTTCTTTGCATTTCCTAGCCACCGAGCATGCAGATTTCCTCTTGCCACCAGACTGGACAGGCTTGACGAAGTCCAGGGGGTCACACGTGGCCATGGCCACAGCACTTGAGTGATAACACGTGCGAAAAAAACAACTTAATTACTTAATAAACAATATTAATAATATATAAAATATAAATGAACCAGTCAGAGTCATGGTCATCGTTGGTCGTACATTTCCTTTACTTCATAAATCAACCAACATGAGTAATGAGTAATGGTTGATTCGAAAATCATCTGCACCCTGCATCCATTTTATTTAACCTGGTTTTCCACGCAACATCCTTGGCCTGGGCATGGCTGCATGCAAGATGACGGCCGGGCTCCGTAAAGCAAATCTGGTAACAACTGGATGTGTGCCCCCAAAAGCAACCGATAACCGACGTGCCGTAGCATGTACCTATGTCAAGGCTCAAGGGATGTCACGACTAAAACAACTTTCATGACTAACAGACTAAGTCCGACTAAGAGACTAAGTTCAGACTACTAAGCCAGAAAGTCGCAAAGAAACAAAGTACTTTACTAGACTAGATCACTGGCCCTTTTCCATCTTGTCACTCCGAGATTCCGAGATGCAGGCGCATCAAGTGTGTAG